TAAGTCAAGAAGAAGCACAAAATTTATATGACCAAATGAGACAAGTGACAAAAGATTATCGTCTATGTGCAATGACTTTATATGTTCAAACATGTACTCGAGAATATGAATTGTTAACAAATGAAATTAAACAAATTGTTGAAGGTATTCCACAAGAAAACGACGATGAAGCCGGTCATGCTGCATTTATACATTATAATGAATTACGTGAAAAAAGATTTAAAATAGAAGCTGAACAATCGATCTATTTTTTAGACGAGCAGCGAGTCGAGAGCAACAACAATCAACAAGAAGAAGAAATGATTGCCCCGACTCTGGTTCGATCGTTGGGCGAGGATTTCTTGCTCCAACAATAATCAATCAAGCACAAGCAAAATTAACCGAGGATGAATATCATCTACTTAAATTAGGCCCACGATTTATCTATAATGATCCAAAAACAGCATCTCGACGACGTCTCATCGAGTTGGCTACAGTCCAAAGAAAAATTGAAGCTCGATTTCATGAAAAGAAAGTTAGCCCCGGTCGTCCAGTCCATCAATTCATTGCTGAATTAGATATTCTGCTTCAAAATTTACATGATATTCCTGTCAAACCAAATCCTCGGTTAAATCAATCACAACAACAACGACAATACGTTCTCGATATTCCAAATGATATGATTATTTCAAGTCAACCCCAGCTGATTCGATCTTCTAAAACGAAGAGAAATTATGATCGATCAGTCAAACGATTAAAACATAAATTTCGACTCACCAACATAGTATTACGTAAAACAGATAAATCCAAAGTATTCCATTTAGGAAAGATCGATGATTATAACAAAAAGTCTAACGATTATATGGATAAAACACAAGCATATCAATGTCCTGGAACACAAGATCCATTACCCGATTTAATTCAACGAACAAATAAATATTTACTAGATCTTCGATTAGCCAAATGGATCACTCAAAAACAATATGAACAACTATGTGTAAACCAACAAGAAGTCGAGTTAGCTCATCTATACTATTTACCCAAAGCACACAAGACTGGTACTCCTCTTCGTCCAATTATATCCGGTCTTAAACATCCAACAATAAAGATCTCTAAATTTCTCGATGATCTACTTCGACCGTTATTCGATAAGATGGCACTAGATACTACTGTTACATCTGGATTTGAATTACTCAAGAAATTGAAAGAACGGTCAATACAAAATTTGAAACAAGAGACTCTATTATGTACTATTGATGTTGCAGATCTTTATACAATGATACCACAAGTCGAAGGAGTACTAGCTCTCAAGAAAATGTTAGACCATTTCAAACTTAAACAAATTGGTGGACTAAAAATAGAAACAATTACTTTTCTTTGAATGGTCAATTTTATCACCAAATTCGTGGTGGTGCTATGGGTTCTCTACTTACTCTTACTATTTCGAATTGTTATATGTACTTTTATCAACAAGATATAGTGAAACAAATTAGCAATAGTGGTGGACTCTATTTCAGATATATCGATGATATATTTTTAGCAATCAATTGGCCTATTCGACATTTCATCAAACAAGTCGATCGACGGAATCAATTTGATTCAAATATACGATTATCTGCTAATATTAGTTTACATGCCGATTTCCTCGATCTACATATGGAGAATCAAAATGGACAATTATTTACAAATGTTTACCACAAACCATCACATGAACCATATTATTTACCATTTAATAGTATCCATCCATTACACATGAAAAAGAACATACCATTTGCTATGTTCTTAAGAGCCATTCGATATTGCTCAACATTCAATGCATATTTACAAGAAAGAGAATCTTTAAGAATGGCTCTTCTGTTGAACAAATATCCTGGTGACCTAATTACTAGCCAATTCAATCGTGTTCTATCAAAATTTGAAATTAATGATCAACTTAGTATTAGAAATTACGAAAGACTAAGAGATCAATTAATTCAATCATTTCACCCCTCAAGAGATAGAACACCATTTGACCATGGAAAGATGATGTTCGTCCATTATACTTATTGTACAAATATGAAGTCATTTCCCATGAAATTCCACAACTTATGGCACAAATATTTTGACAATTCACCAATTAATGAAATTACTCCAATATTAGGAACCAAAAATGTCGACAACTTACAAAAACGTTTAGTGCATACTCGTTCATAATCGCAAACAATTGAAACAGCAGCAGATCGATTTACCTTTCAGATAACAGCTCTTTTCACTTACGTTGTTGGATCAATGCCAAAACTGGATTATATACATTATCAGATCAATTTCTCTGGTTATTTGGCAATCTGCCAACTATTCAATTTTATTCATATAAGAAAAGAAATCGTATGTTAAAAATTGAATAACTACAACGAATGATTCGACTGTCCTCTTATTCTTCAATTATGTTCACTCACTGCTTTAATACATATTTTCCCGATTATGAAAACCAATCTATCTGATCATTTGGCAAATTGCCAACCATTCAAATTTGAACAACAATTTATCCGAATCGCACCAAGATAAAAATTTAAATAAAATCATCATGTACGGCCTTATTATCAAATAAATATCTTGATGACCTTATTAATGAACAACCCAATAGTGTCCCATAAAAGTTCGATGTCCACGATATAGTTAATGTCACCAACTGCAATTTAATGCTCAAGGAGACTAGTTGTACTACTAGACCAATTCGGAAATTAGATCCCAGAATTAAGGATAAATCCTGACGACATTATTGGATCCATGCCAAAATAATGTATTGATGAATCGAATTATCAACAAAACTTTGGATTGGTGCCAAAAAATGACCTTATTCAAAAGAATATATTAAATGTATCGATGAATCGTACTCATATAGATCAATTCATTATCACAGTACTTGATTGATCGAACAAAACTTAATTCAATCGCAGAATATCTTTATACAAAAAATATGATCATTTGGCTTCCTGCCAATTACCCAAAACTAACCACCTCCACTGATTCACACTTGTTTCAATTCAAAATAAAGTCAAGACAAGAAAATCGTCTCCAATTCATCTACCAATTATTAGGAACATCCCATATACATGAACAATATTCTTTTTATCTTTGACTTGTTGTTTCTTCTAACATGTGCTCCCACTTTTTTCATTTTTGTTTTTTATAATGCAGAGCCCTGATGAGTATTTTTATTTCAATAAATAATACGAAACGCGTCGGTGAACAAATTCTGCATTTTTCATATATTTACAAAGCACATTACTTCAAGATCTTCATTCATTCATTCAGACAAAAAAAACAACATCGATTGCTGAAAAGCAAGAGTTGGACATAAGCAGATTACACTTGTCTTTTCGTCAAGAGATAGGTTTGATCTGTTCTCAGCCAGAATTCTATTAATTGTAACAGATGAATAATGGTATTTGATATTATCTTGTAATAAATAACAAACATGTTTTATAATCAATATTTTTTCCTGATTATTAAAATCTGAAAGAAACAACATATGCATATTAACTAAATCAGTATTTTATCAATTGATACGATATAGATGTATGAAAACTATGAAATAATTCATGATTATCGTAAAAGAAATGCAATGGGAGAACGTCTTATTTAGATAACTATGAAACCTGCTGTGCCATTTTATTATCCCTTAAAACAATACTAACCGTAAGAAGAACATATTATTACATTTTAAGTATTTATTTTCATATGATTTTCTTTTCAATCAAAAGAAGGTTTATTTATTGACATTGATTTAAAAAAACATCATATGAATTCGAAGTAACATCAACATGAATAATATCATTAAAAGCATCATTATTAAAATCTCCAATACCAATCCAAGTTAATGTATCATCTTCAAATCTAGTTGAAAATGCTTCTTCTAATTCAAATTCTCCATTTCCATTCCCAATTAAAATATTTATAGTTCGATCAGTTAAACCAAATCCAATATCTAAATATTGATCACCATTAAAATCACTAACATAAATCTGATGTTCTGCACTAGGCTTTCCAATTTGAAATTTCTTTGTATCACCTACAGTTCCATTTCCATATCCAAACATAACAGTAATATGTCTTCCATTTCCACGAGCTACAGCTATATCAAGAAAACCATCACTATTAAAATCACCAAAACCAAAAGACTCTGGATAATAAAAACCACCTGTAAACGATGTAAGAATATCTTGAAATGATCCATTTCCATAGCCTAAAAAAACTCCAATTTCACGTCTAAAAGAATTAATAACAACAATATCTTGATGATGATCATTATTAAAATCTTGAATAGAAATTTTTTTTGGATAGCTATTGAGTCCTGTATATAAAGTTATTTGTGATGAAAATTCTCCATCACCTATTCCAAAAAACACAGCAACACTATTTCCTGAACGGATTGTAACACAAATATCATCATATTTATCTTCATTAAAATCACCTACAGTAATATCAGTTGAATCGGAACCATATGTTATCCATATCTTATAAGATTTTACTGTAAATGTGCCATCATTGTTACCAAATAAGATCAATATATAACCGAATTCATGATGTAAAATAGCAATATCAACTTTGTTATCCTTATCAAAATCTCCAACTGTCTTTTTTTTAATATCCATAGCAGCAAATTGTGCAGATATAATCTCTTCTTTGAATGATCCATTTCCATTTCCTAATAAAACATTCAAGGAGTGTTTATTTGTACCAGTAAATGCAATATCAAGTAGATTATCATCATTAAAATCGGCAATAATATGAGAATCTAATAGAAATTGTGAACTACTTCGATCAGTAAGTATTGATTCAAATTTTAATGAACAAATTGGTTCTAAAATAAATGAATATATAAATAAATAAAAACAACATTCATCAAGTTACTTGAAGTATTTTTTCTTGTTGTTGTTGTTGTTGTTGTTCTCATATTTGTTGCTGTTGTTGCTAAGATATCTGTTGATGAATTAAGGATAGTATTGATTGTTGTTGATACTAAAAAGGATATAGTTGTTATTGATTGTTTTTTGTTTATTTGAATAGAATATATAATAAGAGAAATTATTATAATAATTAATAAAAAACATAGAAAAATGAATTTAAATGAACATCGAATTGAATGATTTATATTTGAAGATAAATTTTCATTTGTAGTAATAAACATATTTTGAATAGGTTGAATTGCATTTCTTTTATTTATTTGATATATATAGAGTTTATAAATAATTTGAATCAATTTTGGACAAATGGATTTTAAAACAATTGTTAAACCACCTTGAAGACCAAATAAAATAATAATTGACTGAATAATATTATATTTTTGAATATAAGTATATGAACATATTAATGGTGAACATTGATTAAAATAAGAGAAATAATTCTGTGATGTTATCCATTCTTCAATAAATAATTCATTTGTTAATTCATCAATTGTTGTATTTAATAAAAATCGACTTTTTCTTTCTGATGATAAAAGATAATTGAATGAGTTAGATTTCATATAATATTGAATAAGTTCCAAACATGTTTTATTATAAAAACATTCAAGTGTTGAAAAACGAAATGATTCACTTGGTAAACAACCTATTTTTAAACCTTGAATCGGAATTATTTCTGTTGAATTTTCACGGAAAAAATTTGCTTGTGTTGTACAATTTGATGATAAACCACATGAACATTGATTATCATAAATCAATGGTTTTGTTTGTGTATGAACATGAAGAATAGAATTCCATGGATTAATATATTCATAATTAGTTCCGTAATTTGATACAAATGCATTTCCATGATTAATACTTCGAATTAAAAAAAGAAGACGATTAAATGTTTTTGGTGTATTGATTTTCATTTGTTCAAGAATTGTTTCTAATCGTTGAGAAAATTGGTCTTCAGATAAAAGTTCAGGAGTTAAAAATAATGAAGAAAGAAATTGTCGAAGAGATATTTCCAGTGTTTCTTTGGAAAGTTGACATAATTGTTCAAGAAATTGTAAATGTGATGAAAAATATCGACGATAATCGTTTTGTGAATAAGATGAAAGATTTTTAATAATATTATTTGTTAAATTATTTCGTCCTTCTTCATTTACAAATGAACTCGAACAAATCTAAATATTTAGTTTTTAATCAAACAACTTTGAGAATTCTCCTCTCTTTCGCATTGCTATTGATAAATTACCTGATGAAATTTGACATCGATTTGGGTTGACCAATTGTATGTTGATGCAATTGATGAACACGGACATTTTAAATCATCTTTATAAGTTTGAAAAAGTTTTTTTGTTAAATTTGGAGATAATTGATCAAATGTTTTTATAAATTTCTGATGTTGAATAAAATTATAAAACATAAGAATAGTAAGAGAAATTAGAAATAAAATAAAATATAAACGAGTTGACCATTGACCAAGTTGTTTTCTTATTCTTCGATCAATTTTACTACTAAAATCTCGTAAATAGAATATATTACATTGAATTAAATGATTATGAATAGATGCAGTTAGTTTTTTTAAAGATACTTTCAATCGAATACATAGTTTTGGATGATCTAAAATATTAAAAATCAACATAATATTTTCTTTCTTTTTTACTCGTTTTACCTTGTTGTTGTTGTTGTTGTTGTTGTCGATTTTTGAATTTTTGAATTAAATAAAAGATAAATTGAATCAATTTAGGTACACTTATTCGTAATGTAAGATTTAAACCGCTAATTGTCGATACAAATATAATTATAACTTCAATAATAGTTTTTGTAAAAGTTTTCTCTGAATAAGTACAATATTTAGGTGAGCATGAATAATAAAATTGTTCATATGAAGGTAAAGGATTCCATTGTTCAATCATAATCTCATTGATTATTTTTGATATTGTAGTATTTGGTAGAAAACGACTTGTTTTTGAATCATAAATAAGTGATCGAATATTAAACCACTTTGGATATTCAACATTTTGAATATATGTATCTTTACTATATTTCATTAAAATTGATAAACAATTTGAATTATTATAATAACATTCAAATGTTGATAACATTAATGAATCTAATGTTGAGCATCCACTAACTAAACCTTGTGCTATATAACGTTTTATATAGATTGGTGTAGCGCTTGTTTCTTTGTCAACATCATAAATACCAAGAGGAACTTGGCAGTTACTATTTATAGCACAAATACATGAAGAATCTTCTAATTCAACATGACGAGGACCAGTTAATTGAAAAACGACCTAAATATTATTTTCAAGTTAATAACAAGAGTGATCCACTTAGCTCTTTTTAGATAGTACTCCTAACCTCATATGATTCGTTATAGCGTTTTCCGAAAAATCCAAAATAATATTTTCAAACACTCTGAATACTCGTTATGAAGATTATCTCAATAATTTTCATTAAGGATGCTGCGAAGGCTGTTGAGGGATTTATCTCGGTCTTAGCAAGAGTGCAACAACGGGTACAATAGATATATAGTGATTATGACCGTAATAGAAAAAAAATCAATTTCCCGAAAAACGCTATAACGCATCAAATTTCAACATAACCTCTTTTATGTCTAATTTCATATTCGATCAATCAGTAAAATACGGACATACAACTATAAATACCTTCAAATTTTTCTTATTATTTGTAAATATTCCAATTGGATTATATTTTTCTTCTTTAATACCAGGATTTCTAATAACTCCAAAATAAGGTTGATCAATTTGTCTAAGGATACCTGCTGTTTTCATAAATAATTGAAAATAATTAATTGTTGATTGAGAAAATTGATTAAAAGTTGCATTGATTTGTTCATAAAAATTTTCTTCTGATAATAAATTTAAAACAACAAATGGTTTTAAAAGAAAACGATTAATAGCATCATCTATTGTTTCATTTGATAATCTACATAAATCCGATAATAATTCAAATTGTGATAAAGCTGTATTACGCCAATCTGGATATTGATTACGAGTTTGAATTTCTTTTATTATTGATAACCATTGATCATTAAGAAAATCACTTGTACATATTTGATGTAACTGAGGAGATAATAAGAAAAAGGTTTTATATAATATAATCAGATTTGAACATGGACATTCAAGTGTTGATGAATATTTTATCCGTAAATTTTTATAATCCATCAATGATGGTTCATCTTTTCTTATAAGAATTATTTTTTTGTTTAATGAATTGAATAGAATAAATATCAAACATAAATCTTAAAATTTAGAAAACGAAAATATTTATAGAAAAAATCGAGACCAATATTTACTTATGAATAACAGAAAATAAACACATGTGCTAATCTTTTGTTGTTTTATATCCATTTCTGTTCGGTGATCAATTTTTTTAAATAGATTTAATCGTTTTATAGATTGAATTAACTTCTTTCTCAATGAAACTAAAAAAGAATTAATTACTTTATATTTATTGATATAATTATATAGATACCATTTTGATTTTGAAAACGATCTTTTAAATGAAATGAAATTTTAATTAAATATGGTGTTATTAATCTTAAAATAAGAATAAGACCACCATAAAGACTAATAAGTAAAGTAATTGCTGAAGAAGAATCTGTTTGATTCCATATTTTATATGTACAAATTGATGGAGAACATTTATGAAAATATTTCGAATAATTTATATTAATTAACCATTCATCAATGAATAAATTATTAAAATAATCAAAAACTGATCTCTTTTCTTTATTTGAAATTAATACTGAAATATTCATCTAAATCAAAAGAGTTTTTTTAGTAAAATTAGTTAAATTATAGAAAGGAATTACTTGAGTTATATTTGGAAAGTTTTCTTTTAATAATTGAATACATTGATATGAATATAAACAATCTAATGTACTTTCAAGAAGAGCTTCAAGTGGTGTACATCCCGTATAAAATCCATCAACAATTAAATCATTTATATGAGGGGTTTTCCATTGAATAAAAAGATAATATGGTACCCAATGTGAAAGTGACTTAAAGCCGACAGTAGTTATTGGATTTGTAATAGAACAACTCATTAATGTTGATTGTGGTTGAGTTGTATTAATACCAGGTAAATAAGCTGTAGTTAAACTTGCAAATTTTGGATCAGTTAAAGTATTCATAACAGTAAAAAGATAATTTGTATTTAAAGCAGAAATAAAAAAATTTCTTTGGATTATTATTCGTAAATAATTTAAAAATGAAATCATTTGAATTGATGTGCTTTTTCGAAGAAATTCAATTGTTTGATTTATTTCTATTTCTAATTGATTGTTTGATAGAAGATAAGTATTCATTAATTCATCAAAAGAAAATTTATTTTCATTTTCTTTTATTGTTTTTTCAGAAAATAAACAAAGACCAGATAGAAGTTCAAACTAAAATATAAAAATTATTTTCTATTTAGAAACGAAGTTACCGAAGATTATTTTCTACGAGAAAGCCGACAATCGTGCAGGTTAACTGTCGTCGCTACCTATCATAATCTAGGGTGCACAGCAGTGGCGCATCCAGAATTTTTAGACCGATGGGCCAAAAATGTTTTCCTTCTCAATGTGCGAAAATCGCTCAATGAACACAATCGTAGTGAAGCAAGATAAAGTTTTTCTAATAAAAAGCTGTATTATACAGAAATTTTAATGGACAACAATTTACTAAAAATATTTGACTGAGTAAAGCTTAAAAATGTAATGGGCAATGGAGTATTTGTCTCCCCTCCTGGTAGCAGCGGCGCCAGAATTTCCACTCAGAGTGGGCTCAGTCCACCATTGACGTCGCCACTACCTCCTGGTTGCGCCAATGGTGCACAGGTGTCCGCACTTTCCTCTTGGGCAATTCCGATTTCGGCGAAAAACCTCTTTGTACGACTGTTCTCTTGTATAATTTCAAAAAAAAACTAACATAAAGATTCTTACTTGAGAATAAGCTGTTGTTCGAAAATCACCTGTTCCATGAAGACTTGCATGAATTGTATATAATGCATTAATCCATTCTTTTCTAATAAAAATACTTGAACAAACAGGATGATATGTAATTGTATTATTTAGAAATATATGATAAGGAATATTTATATTTGAACATGAACATGATAATGTATCAGAATATTCCGAATAGAGTTTATTATAAATATCCAATGATATATTTGTTTTAATAATTGTTTTCTGTTGATGGTGAACGAAATTTGAATAAAAAAGTATATAAATCGATGCTAAAATAAAATGTTAATATCAATAATAAATATTGTCTTTTAACATCTGTGAACTTTTTTATTTATATTTTTTTATGAAAAAGAGATTAAAAATGTATCTTACTTAGAAGAAGAAAAATATAAAGCCAAGTTGTATATTTTTGTTGTTTAATAATAATTGTTTGGTCAATTTGTTCATCTTCATCATAATCATCTTCTTCTTTCATAAAAACATTATAACTTTCTATTTTTTGAATTATTTTATAAAATAAATTTTTAATAATCATTTTCATTATTACAATAAAATAGTAATTCTAGAATATACTATTCATTGAAAAAAAATCTCCTAACAGACATTGGACGCAAGTACTTCTACATTTTCGCTTTATTACTGTTTCCTGCCGTAATGGATACACAACCATAGGACTCCTTTTGATCGCCATTTCACCGGCTACAAAACGGTACTCTTTGTTGTTTTATGCAATAATTCTCTCATCAAAGAACCCAAAGTATTTCACATTTTTATTATCATTTTTAAAAAGTGGCAAAATTTCTTAAGTACTTTGGATTCTTTCACAAGAGAATTGTTCCATAAAACAACAAAGAGTACCGCTTTGTAGCCGGTGAAATAGCGATCAAAAGGAGTCCTATGGTTGTGTATCCATTACGGCAGGAAACAGTAATAAAGCGAAAATGTAGAAGTACTTAGAAGTACTTGCGTCCAATGTCGGCCTCCTAACTTTGATGTAAATTTCGAACAAATGACAGTGATTTAGTAATATATTCTTTTATTTCTTATCTCAGGAAACTTTGCATTTCCTTTCAAAAATAACTGACTCTTCTTTTCTACAAAAATCATGCTTAGTATTAAATATTTTCATCGGAGTGAAGCTAGCACGACGAAACAGTATGTTGCCTAAAAAGTTTTTTATAAAGTATGTCCCGTCGATAAAAACTAGTCCATTCGATTCAAAATTTAATTCTGCATCGAATGATGCTACTTTTATTCACGGGACAAATTTTGGAAAAATTTTTTCCTACAACTTTGTCTTTCGCCTGTGTAAGAGACAAAAACTTACATAAAATTTTTCCAAAATTTGTCCCGTGAATAAAAGTAGTACCATCCAATGCAGAATTAAATTCTGNTACCTACTTGACATACATCATTAACTGTGAATTCTATTACATAGACCGACAATGACTATTTTACGACAACATCAGAATGTATTTGGTTTTATTCTACAGTTTCATTCTTTTTCGAGCAGTCTCAATTGTTCTCACTGCACTCCAGTGTTGTCGTAAAATAGTCATTGTCGGTCTATGTAATAGAATTCACAGTTAATGATGTATGTCAAGTAGGTAAAACAGTAACGCCAGACTTCCTGCCTTACCATATAGCTTGTGAAGATGTTCAGAAATGTTGACAAGAACCAGATGAATGTGTCATACTGAAGTACCATAGTGACGGGGTCGTTGTGACTGCAGCAATGCTCAGTGCTACTAGAAGAAGAATGTCTAGAATTATTGCTGCTGTAGTTACGGTGTACTCACACATTGTTGTACCGGAGGGCATTGTATCAGTAAGAAATGTTTCATTCTCAGCATATTGCTCCAGCTTGATCCAGCGCTGTCAATTCCCAAATCGCTTCAGTCGATGTTCTTCGATAGAATTAGAACTAAAATAATATATATTCAAAAGGGCCAAATGAGAATTACTTTAAAGTACTTTTAGAAGTAATATAAAGTAATATTCGAATTAATTATTGATAGGTGTTCACTGCCATGTTTTCTGAATAAATGAGAAAGAAGACTGTAATGCTGGCTATTTATAGGCTTCGTTCATCACGGCGGCCGGCTATACACCAAGCCGGCTGAATATATCCTCCCACGCGTCGGCTAGATGTGACCTAGAAAGTACTTTTAAGTACTTTTACCCAAATGTCATTTTAATAGTTTTGCGAGTATAGTTAGTGAACTGTGGTGTATATATTCGGTATTTTGCCGAAATGTGAAAGGGAAATTGCTGTTATTTGTTTCATTGTCACGTATGGTATCCGCATGAAGATTAGATTATGTGATGACAATAAAAATTTTTGGCAACGTGTTACGACATTTACATGCCTATAACTGACCCTTGTCTTTACATGAGTCTACTAACTCTATCTGTCAGGGAACGGCAGACAAGCAATTTCGTTTATTTCTAAAGAGAACTTTGATTATTCGATTGCTTTCATCCATCAACTATAAATCTATTTTAAAATATTTGTTCCCGTGGCAGCCGTGCTATCAAATACGTAAGAAATAATCCTAAACGTTTTATTAATTGCTTTTAGAAACGAATGTTATCCCTCTGGCTGTCACCGAAATACCGTAGCAAACCGTGGAGTATCCATCAGCACATAGAAGAACTTGCTCAACTGTTCAAACAAGTTCGATTGCCATCGACCACCACACGCATACCACGTACTTTGATGGACTACCCCAAGTTTAAAGCTAATGAGCTGCGTGTGTTACTTTTGTTCGGTTATGTCATTTTTTCAAATATTCTTCCAAACGCATTTTACAATCATCTTCTTCAGCTAGTTTGCCTTCTTCATCTAGCCGAAAACCGACGCATTCCGACACATAACATTATGATTATGCAAAGCTTGGGTGAAAGTTTTGTTGTTGAATTTCCTCTTCTGTACACAGAGCGACACTACGTCCAAGTTGTGCATTCTGTTGTTCATATCGCTGCCACTGTTCGCGATTTCGGTCCACTAACCCATTATACTACTTTCAATTTTGAAGATCAATTAGGTAAAATTGTTTCTGGTGGATCTATTTGTATGCCATCTTTTAGGATTCTTAACACGCACTTGCAAAAGTACCAGACGTCATGCACAGGAAATGATTTCAAATTTGCAATTGTTGCAATGTGCCTACGAACATTTGAGTGATTCTACCATTAACACTTCTTTCAAAGAGAATTTGTTATCTATTGCCAATATTAAACAGCACAAAGATACAATTCGTGTTCGGGCTTATCGCAGAACACTCAAAGTCAATCAGTATGCTGAGATTCTTTTCCCGCAATGTCAACTAGTGTTTTTTAATCGGCTACAAATTGGTAATCTAAAACTATCTACTTCACCAAGCGCTGCGGATGCACTTGCTGATGATAGTACTATACTGTTCAGAAGCCACAATGATTTATCTATGGGACGCATTCAGTCTATATTTACTTTAATTGAGACAAAAGTTACCTTCTTGCTGGTTGATTATCCAACAGCTTTTGAAGACTTCAATTGTTTTGTTCGAAATGACGATGAGTTCAAATACTCGTCGATTCAAAGTTGTTTAAAGAAGGACTCCACTACGTGTCTTGTAGAGCCTGGGAATGTTATCGAAAATGTGTTTACTACGAACGCTCTGATGGAAAATGCCATTTTATTCGCTTTCCGAACTTGGAGCATTGCTCTTAAATCCGATTTATTTAATTATTGTTTTTAATCGTTTAGCAGTTGTGCTTTCGAAAAGATTTTCCTAGTGGCTGTCGTACAAATCAAAATTGTTTTACTAGTGAAATAAAAGCTTTGCTTCATATTAATAGAAAATTTTGTTCTGTGATATTTTATTTATTTTGTATCTACGAACGCAAACAAGAGCACTAAACTATTGTCCAAATACTATGAAGTACTTTGATTTACTTCAAAGTCAATAAAAGTAGGAAGTTTTCTTAGAAAAACTTCTTCTCTACATGAAAGTATTATTAAATACTATGATAAATACTAAATTTTTGCGAAGGATAAAAAATGTTCAAATTTTAATAAAAATTTCTTTCAAAAGTAAACAGTAGTATAGAATATTGTCAACTATTGCTTAAATTAATAATAAATACTTTATTAATTACTGTGAAGTACCATAGTTTACTTTAGCACATGCAAAAGTATTAAAAAGTACTTATAGAAGTAACAAAGTATTCAAAACCTAGTTTGAAAAGTTTCCGAATTACTTAAAAGTACTTCATAAAACTTTTAAGTACTTCAAAGTAAATTCTGTATTAGCAAAAATATTTACAAGTACTTCTCACAGTTAGAAAAGGAACATAAAATACTTTTAAAAGTACGATAAAATAAGTTTTTTACTCAAAAGTGAGAAAATATTTCAAAATAATTTGAAAAAGTACGAAATATTATGAAATTTTACTTTACATAGTACTAAATAGTACGCAAAGTACACTTAGTTTACTTTACTAATATGAACAGTGAAAATAAGTATTTTTTTGCTACTTTTCTTTCACATGGGTAGATGCCTTATATGGTTTTGATACGTGTCGGTGTGCATGACATTGTTCGCATTAACAGATGGTATCTTATGGCTGTATGTTGTTTCCATATTATTCATTTTTGACGATATGGATGCACGATAGCAGGGGAGAAGGCGGTTGTAAATTTGATCAAAATAAATTGACTTGTACATCTAACGAGAGATGGCCGCTAACCGTGTCCTCGCTGTTGAGCTGAAATTCAGATTGACAATAAGTAATTGAACGTGCTGATTCCGAATATCACAATGACTTTTGCTCACTTTCGGTTTAAAGACCGGAATTTGTACTAAAAAACTCTCTTAAGCTGTTTAAATAAAAGAGCACACCATTAAGCCTACCAAAAATAGGCTTTCAACGATCTGAGTGAGTTTTTGACGTCTAAAGCTCAAAAAAAGAGAGAAAAATCGCCATTCCCATCTACATATACACGATCTGACAATAAATTCTTTTCCTTGACACATGGCAGCGGTTTTTATTTGATCGAAAGCATTACGATTACAATGTAAGCATAGAATGTTATGTCAAAATTGAGTGTGCAATTGTATTTTAATTTTGTCGTAAAAATCTAGGAAATCTTTTAATAATATCTTGTATTGCGCCATGAAATTCATTTTTATAATTCTCTGACGGTAATACAAAAACAATGAACGTTGACATCGACGGAATAAATGATATATAATAACCAATAAGATGTATCCATGGTTGACGTTCAGATCTCATACATNATACGACGGATCATGAGGAAATTTATATTGACAAAAAGACCCAAACCATGGTGATGAACAATTATAAAAAAAATTCGAAGTAATATCATTCTTTTCATATTTTTCTACAATATCGATAGGTGCAAACCATGCCAATAATTGTTCACTAGTAACACCTTGTTCTTTTAAATCATAAAAAGAAATGATTTTTGCTATGTTCTCATCAGTTTCATATGAAATTGTGTTTTCTCTTTCATAGTTTTCCGGTCGTCGACAATAAGCATCTAGCTGAGAACTTGGTCGATCACGCAACAAATCTATCAGCTTGCTACTTATATAATAGTGTACATACAAACAGTCAAATGTCGGATAAGAGAGTTTATGCTCATTCGAATAATAAAGCACATAACGAGTATTCACCAAAGAACACCATATTAGAATGAAAAGTATTTGTACGATAATCATAGCCAGAAACTTTCCATAATTAACAAATAATTAGTGTTTTTAAAAAGAATCTGAAACAAAGTTAAGTATCATAAAGTACTAAAGGCAAAATAAATCACGAAAAAGCGCTACTATTTTGAATATCTTTGTAAGAGTGAAACACTTTCATACAAAAAACACAAATGAAGATAAAGACAAAAAGTACAAATCTAAATATGTACAAAATACAAATAAAAACACAATCAGAATCATTCTTGCTCTTCATCATTGTGAATGTCAATGCAATCTTCACAAAGTTATGTATTTGTTGTTGTTGTTGTTGTTGAAATTCCCAATCTAATCCGACAAGTGTTACATAACCATATCGATCAGTTATATTCGACCGAATTATAAAATTCATTCTGATGGCAGCAGCACATCGCATTTACTTCGTCTGGATCCTCTCTAGCAATATATTTGCCACAGCGGTTGGTACATTTCATGGCATTCGTTTTCCGTTTTTTTTGACTGAGTCGAACAATTACCTGTTGTAACTGATAATACCTTTCGTTTCTCATTACAGTGCATTCGCTTGTGTATGGCTCGTAATCAATAGGTGCATCAACGAGTAATTTTTCCGATTTTCATCTGATTTACTCGATGAGTTATATGCTTCCCGAATTATCCTACTACAACTGTCATCACTAGAGCAAATTGAAAAATCAAAGGAATATCCTTTGTTAGTGTATCAAACGACGGATTACCTTCGTATATCATCGGGAAAAAGAACGAACATTCATAAGTACATCAAGTGTTTCAATCATAATTCGTGAACGTCCATTTGTTTATATTCGGTTTGCGATTGAATAACCACGTTCACATTCAACTGAGTTAAGAGGTGATACCAGATAAACTGATAATAAAATCACAAGTAACGCTCATCCTTTGGATTCGCTGACCCTTTTCTGAAAGATTTTTCCTAATGCTGAACACATTCAGAGACTTTGAAGGAGAAAAAACACACTGCGATTGCTACTAGTGCTCAACTGAATCATGGCACTATGTCACACACTAGAACTAGAATGAATAGGATACAGAGGTCCTTCTAGGAATCAGACCGATTANACAATTCGTGTAGAAACCATCTCTATCAGATCGTCATCGAACACGAAAATCTATAATATCGCACTTGTTCGCGTCTTCCACATATCATACCATCCTTTTTAAGTTCAATCATCCAGTAAAACAATTGTTTTCATATTCTCCTTCATACCAATGTTATTTCGTGACTTTAGAACAACACCAACAACAACATACTTATTTCCAACGCAACGGTTTTTGTTATCCAAATCAAAATTCAACAAGTATTTGAGTATATGAACAGTATTTAAACATTTAAAGCAACCTTTCAGATAAGTTCCTGTTATTTTTTCAAATCGTTCTAACTTTTTATCTAAATCTATATTTTTCATTTTATTTTAGGAAAAGTGCTTTAATACAGTGAACTTGGTTAATTTACTTCACTGGTTTTTATTGGTGGTATTTGGCATTGCATTTTAAGTTTAAGGTAAGCCTGTTTGTTACTTTCATTTTATTTCCTTCGTCTTTCTTTTCGTTGCGTTTACATTTAAGAAAATGTTTTCCAACACTATCCTCGACTAGTTCTTTTCAATTGATACTTCCTTTTAACTTATCGTGGCGTTTTAAGTGTTATGTTAGATTAGGTCATTTCCATTTACTTATTTTTTTCTTTCTCGTCATACTTTGAATTTGCGAGAACATCTTTTGATATAATATTTCCAACAAGTTTTCTCCACATCAGCCTTTCTTTTTTTTCTACCATTTTGTCTAAAGGTGAATTTCTGTGAGTAGTAATTTTCACGTTAGTCTTTTCCATTTCTATCTTTCGTCCGCGGTGTGCATTTACTCTGTAATTCTACCCAAATAATGCCTATATATAAGTTAAAATTTATTGCTCCGACGCTTTTTTGGATAGGGTGAATCCATGGGAAGCGTACCACGTTTACATGACTTTCTCCAAATTTCCTCAAACTTCCAGGGTTTGTAGAGCTCGACGAGCTGAACATTTTGGTATAAAAATATCATGGGTTTGTGTCTATTTTCATCCCGAACGACCCGAAATACGATTTTGCCAAAGTACGAAAAATGGGAAAATTTGGGCGGCTTGTCGACAGTATTTTGCCCATATTATCCCCATAGGATATCGAAACCCTAACTATTTATACATATTCTGATAGCCCGTCTTCCGCTCTATCAGACCATATGTAAACCAAATGGGTTGGTTTAATTAGATGACCCTATGGAGGTGCACACCTTCATGAACTTGTCACCTCTGTAGCTAAGCTCTGCCGAATTTGGGGGAGCAGAGGCATAGTGGGTTTTGTAGAGCTTCGCTTGCTCTATCTGGTCGTATATAAGACTCCCAACCCGGTTTCAGTTTTCATCCGTCAAAGGGCTCGAAACATTTATTTGCTGCTATATTTGGGTAAATTTCGCTGTTTTTTCGATAACCTTGCGAGAGAAGATCACTGAAATGAATGGAAAACCTCGATACCAATAGACTTCAACTGATGAAGCAACAATGAGTAACATTTTACCCACAAACAAACTTCTTTCATACACATTTGTACAGATAACCAAATCTGTTCAGGTCAAAAACGTGTCGGATGCATTATGGAATCGCATATATGAACTATTTGAATCTCATAGATGGCACTGGGTTATAGCAACCACGAAATAGAGCAGAAAAGATGTCAGTGACAGCGTAATAAAGCTGTTGGACGATTGTAATCTGATCTTGTTAACCAACCAAAGAGAGATAAGTTACTAGTGAATCATAATTAAGGCAAGCGCACTAGTTTCCCTGTCGAATATTTGTACTTTTTCTGAAGACAGGAGCTTTGATCAATCAAATGGCCAAGTTGAAAAAGTGGTGTTGTCATCCTATCAGACACGATGGAACGAAAAAGATTGGACGGGCGCCAACACATCCCAAAGGAAAATACATAGTGCCTTATTATCTGGACAACTTCATAAAGAAACAGTATTGCGTTCCAAATATAAGTACTTCGCAGGCTGATATGTCAACTACGTATGTGTGTACTAGCTGCTATGAATACGAAATGGATAGATTTGAAAGATTTAAAGCTTCTAAAGGTGATCAAGAGCTGTTGAAAAGCGATGATCAATTGCTAACGGAACCACTGAAAATGCAAATGGATTTCGAAATCTGTGATTCTGAACGCCAGGCAGAGAACGAGTTGGCTTTACTTCATAGTTTACAAGTCGATAAAGATGTCGTCAATAATGTGCTTCGAATTTTGGGAGTGGAAGAGATTGCAGATATGTATGTGATACACTGGTAGTCAATGAGTGGAAAGATGTTGTTCTCTTTACTTTTAGACGTCAAACTGGTGTTTTACACAATAAAGTCAAGCGTGCTTGTGAACTGCTAGAGAACAAGTGTGAAAACCTGATAAATAATGTAAAATTAAATAAAACTTCACGTGAAATAGAAGGGGAAACCGGACAGAACGGTGAAGAAAACAAAAAACATGAATCGTGTTTATTAAATCTTTCAGAAAAAGAAGAATTAATCGATGGTTTCAAGTATCTGTACAGTACAAGTAACAGAATGGAACAAGTTCGTTTGCTGACTATCGCACCAGCCAGTTGGGGACGTCAAAAAGTTCAAATGTTTTTCAGCATCTCCGATCGGCAAGCTCGTTATTCTCGTGAGCTTCGCTCAACCGAAGGTGTACTTGCTACTCCTGAAGATCTCCGTGGAAATCAAGTGTTAGATCCATCTGTGATTCAAGCTGTAATCCATTTCTATGAACAAGATTGGATCAGCCGAGTTTCACCGAACAAATCAGATGTCATATTAATAAAACAGCAACCTATTCCCAAACGGTTTATGTTATTAACGATTGGAGAAGCTTTCGAAGAATTTAAAAAAGATTTTCCTCAGTATGTTATTGGAAGATCAAAATTCTTCAGTCTCAAACCNATCTGTTTTCACCCCGAACGATCCGAAATACGATTTTGCCAAAGTACGAAAAATTGAAAAATTTGGGCGGTTTGTCGACAGTATTTTGCCCATATTATCGCCATAGAATATCGAAACCCTAACTATTTATACATATTCTGATAGCTCGTCTTCCGCTCTATAAGACCATGTGTAAACCAAATGTGTCGGCTGAATTAGATGACCCTATGGAGGTGCACACCTTCATGAACTTGTCACCTCTGTAGCTAAGCTCTGCCGAATTTCGGGGAACAGAGGCATAGTAGGTTTTGTAGAGCGTCGCTTGCTCTATCTGGTGGCATATAAGACTCCCAACCTGGTTTCAGTTTTCATCCGTCAAAGGGCTCGAAACATTTATTTGCTGCTATATTTGGGCAAATTTCGCTGTTTTTTCGATAATCTTGCGAGAGAAGATCACCGAAATTATTGGAAAACCTCGATAATAATAGACTTCAACTGATGAAGCAACAATGAGTAACATTTTACCCACAAGCAAACTTCTTTCATACACATTTGTACAGATAACCAAATCTGTTCAGGTAAAAAACGTGTCGAATGCATTATGGAATCGCATATATGAACTATTTGAATCTCATAGATGGCACTGGGTTATAGCAACTACGAAATAGAGCAGAAAAGATGGGAGTGAAAGTGTAATAAAGCTGTTGGACGATTGTAATCTAATCTTGTCAACGAACCAAAGGGAGATAAGTTACTAGTGAATCATAATTAAGGCAAGCGCACTAGTTTCCCTGTCGAATATTTGTTCTTTTTCTGAAGACAGGAGCTTTGATCAATCAAATGGCCAAGTCGAAAACGTGGTGTTGCCATCCTATCAGACACGATGGAACGAAAAAGATTGGACGGGCGCCAACACATCGCAAAGGAAAATACATAGTGCCTTATTATCTGGAAAACTTCATAAAGGAACAGTATTGCGTTCCAAATATAAGTACTTCGTCGGCTGATATGTCAACTACGTATGTGTGTACTAGCTGCTATGAATACGAAATGAATAGATTTGAAAGATTTAAAGCTTCTAAAGGTGATTAAGAGCTGTCGAAAAACGATGATCAATTGCTAATGGAACCACTGAAAATGCAAACGGATTTCAAAATCTGTGATTCTGAACGCCAGGCAGAGAACGAGTTGGCCTTACTTCATAGTTTACAAGTCAATAAAGATGTCATGAATAATGTGCTTCGAATTTTGGGAGTGGAAGAGATTGTAGATATGTACGCGATACACTGGTAGTCAATGAGTGGAAAGATGTTGTTCCCTTTATTTTTAAACGTCAAACTGGTGTTTTACGCAATAAAGTCAAGCGTGCTTGTGAGCTGCTACAGAACAAGTGTGAAAACCTTATATCTAATGTAAAGCTAAATAAAACTTCAAGTGAAATAGAAGGAGAAACCGGACAGAACGGTGAAGAAAACAAAAAACATGAATCGTGTTTATTAAATCTTTCAGAAAGAGAAGAATTAATCGATGGTTTCAAGTATCTGTACAGTACAAGTAACAGAATGGAACAAGTCCGTTTGCTGACCATCGCGCCAGCCAGTTGGGGACGTCAAAAAGTTCAAATGTTTTTCAGCAGTTCCGATCGGCAAGCTCGTTATTCTCGTGAGCTTCGCTCAACCGAAGGTGTACTTGCTACTCCTGAAGATCTCCGTGGAAGTCAAGTGTTAGATCCATCTGTGATTCAAGCTGTAATCCATTTCTATGAACAAGATTGGATCAGCCGAGTTTCACCGAACAAATCAGATGTCATATTAATAAAACAGCAACCTATTCCCAAACGGTTTATGTTATTAACGATTGGAGAAGCTTTCGAAGAATTTAAAAAAGATTTTCCTCAGTATGTTATTGGAAGATCAAAATTCTTCAGTCTCAAACCNAGTCAAGTGTTAGATCCATCTGTGATTCAAGCTGTAATCCATTTCTATGAACAAGATTGGATCAGCCGAGTTTCACCGAACAAATCAGATGTCATATTAATAAAACAGCAACCTATTCCCAAACGGTTTATGTTATTAACGATTGGAGAAGCTTTCGAAGAATTTAAAAAAGATTTTCCTCAGTATGTTATTGGAAGATCAAAATTCTTCAGTCTCAAACCACGCTACGTTTATACGATCTCCACATGATACTTGCCGTTGTATATATCATGAAAATTTTGATCTCGTACTCAAAGTGAGGAAATAAATCTTCTTTTATACTACATCATGAATACTTTTATCGCAATCTCGACAATATAGGCATGGAATCGTTTGAGCAGAGAGACTATAGAAAGGCGAAAATTAATTGATGAAACTTTGTGCTCTTCTCCTACTAATCTGTGTTACCATCATGATTGTCGAAACTGTGGGGACAAAGTGCCATCGAACTACCTTTCAAATCTTTTTGACGGGGACGACGATTAGATTACAGAATGGACAAGCTGGAAGCGAACAAATAGTCGCGTTGCACTACAAAAAACAGTTGGCAGTGTTAGTCTACTTTTAAACGATATCGATGAACAATGGAGAAGCTTTCTTCCACACCACTACATTACAAAAACCCAACAATCGTATATTGCTGAGCTAAGAAAAGTATGCCTGATCCCATTCTCACATTAGCGATTATTTTAATTTCTCGTTTTCTTTTTCTACAAACAGACATCGGATCCAAATAAGTCGATAACTATACAGATGGACTTTGCGCAGAATTTCGCATTAACCTCACAACGTGAAGTACAATCAGCTCACTTTGACAAAGCACAAGTGACTCTTTTTACCGTTTCTGTAACATTTGGATCAGATCGTAAAAACTTTGTGATAGTCAGTGATTATCTTGAACACGCAGGATGAATTTCAAATTTTCTGTTAAATGTTGATAACGAAAAAATGCCTGTTGTAGGACACTAAATTTGTGTACTTTGCTCAACAATTTTTAGTTCAAAGAGTAAAACAAATCGCACCGAGTGTTCAAATGATTAATTATATAACAGACGGCGGACCCGGTCATTTTAAAAATCGATTCAATATCCTAAATCTATCGTTTCATCAGACCGATTTTAATATCCATGCGGTGTGGGCATTCAGTGCGACGTCACATGGCAAAGGACCAGTTGATGGTTTAGGTTCAGTCCTCAAATCAACGGGTACTCGGTTCATGATGCGTCACGGGCCCGAAGAAGCGTTTAAGAGTGCAAAGGAATTCTATGAATTCTCAGCACGCCGCCAAAAACTATCCAAATCTCCGATCGAATTATTATATGCAGAATCAAAGGATATACTTAAGGGGGAGGTACCCCCCCCCCTAAACATACCCTCAAATTTCGTCAGTTTGTGGGCTATAGACCCATATGTAAGGATATCACAATATAATGCGTGTTTGGCTATTCTTCTGAACATAAGAGAGTATGCAAAAATTAAAAAAATCGCTTTTTACATGCATTTTCCGGTTTTCTAGAAAAGTAGTTCTTACACAGTTGTATATTCGAACGGAACGTTTTGGAATATTGGTTCCTTATACAAAACTGTTCATTATGTTCAAATCTATGGGATAACACCTTTTCTCTTTGCTAAAGAAAGTCTTTTTCAAAAATCTCCTATGTAGGAATGAATATATTGACCACATGATTCGACAAAAATGAAAATATAAAATTTGCGCATTTTGAGAAGCATACAATTGAATTCTAGTATTCCTTTCATATCTATTGAAGTTGTTCTCATATCGTGGATATTCATTGGGTACATAATCATCTGTTCATAGAGGTCGCATCATGCCGTATTCTCGAAATAGAACGGAAAGAACAAAAAGTGATATTTTCGAAACTATGAAATCAAACGTAGTGATTAGTACGATGTGTGAAATTTGAATATAAGGTTATTCATTTCCTACTTTTCAATTCTGAATCACTATTCGAATTTTATCATGTAAGTCAACAAAGAATAAAATCTAACGGTTTGACACATTTACACTCATTATTGCTCTTTTCGATTGAACAAATCCATTTGTTATAACTATGTCAAGCGATGAAAGCGAATTTGATCAAACTTTATTGTTGCCAACGAATACAACAGACAGATTGCAAAGATACAAGAAAAATACTAGTTATGGGAGACGTTCTCGTTCCAAACGAAGTCGTTCAAACAAATCAAAAGGTATATCTAGTTCCGAACAGAATCGATCAAAATCGGAATCACGGGAACTGACGAAAACTCGAACAACCACAAAAATTAGGAATTCGTTAGCCAGGTAGATATTTTTAGAAACTGTTTTATAGAGAAAGATTTAGATTAGATTTGAAAATACGAATTGTGTGTCTAACTCTTTAGTGCATTAGAATATGCTCCATCTAAAACAACTACACAGTTATTTGAAATTAATTATTTACAAACGCAACTTGCTGATGCTCATTTATGCGCAAATGCTCATCTTATATTTATACCTGATATAAATAGATCACAGGGACTTTACCATGAAAATGGCTTGAAGTGTTCTCTTTGTGGAAAAATTTCACCTTTTTCAAATTTTCCACCAAAACCACTGTATGAAGTACAAGTACCGAATCATCGATTGTACGTTGCAAATTCATTCACAGGTAAAACTCTCAGATGTCAGGCCAAATTCTGTATCTGAATAGCACAATGCTTCCCTATCTCTATCTATAATATCATTTAAGGGATCGGGTACGATAATATGAACTTAATTATGTCAATTTTATGTTTAAAAATCCCAAATAAAACAAATTTCATTCCTCAAGTATTGCAAACGTAAGTACAATTTAGAGTATTTCACTTTTCATCAGGTAATACATACGTGAATATCTTTTTCAGTTACGATAGTTTGTATGCGTATGTTCAAGAGCACTTTCGTTCAGTTGTACAAGACATTCGTTCATCGCATAACGTTGAGAGTAACAATACGGACCAATTTGTTGATCTTGCAGTTTCGATGGACGGTAAAGTGTTACTAAGTCACTTACAAAATAAGTTTTCCTTGCTCACCAATGTGGAAATACATATCGTGTGTTTAGGGACGTGGAAGAAAAGAGGATTTGTCTCACACTACGGTATTGTATTTGTTATTGAACTCGAGAGTGGCTTAGCTCTCGATTACGAAGTGTTGAGCACAAGATGCGAGAAATGCGAGAAGAACAAAAGAGAACGCACAGCACGTGATTTTCGAAGTTGGGTAAGTTAATTCTCTCGTAATGTTTTAGTCGTCAAAATATTTTCTCTCTTACTAGTTCGTGAAACACAAAGATGTTTGCGAGCAGAATTGGGATGGAACAGCCAAAGGAATGGAAGTAGAAGGTGCAAGAAGATTATTTGAAAGATCAGTCGATAAAGGTATTATTGATTTATTTAAAAAGAACTGCAAAAAGTCGTCAGCTGTGCGCACCTTGTAGGATTTCGATACAAATGGTTGATATGTGACGGTGATTCAAGTGCTTATGAAGCTGTCAAACGAACATATATTGTTGAAGACACAGATGAAGAATCACCACAACAAAATCCGAATGAGGAAGACGTCGATGACTCAGAAGATGAATGTACGTTTTGACAGAAAGCACATGATCTCAAGTATTCTCAATCGTTCATCTAATGGCTCCCAACTACTATTCTAGATAGTGATGCTAACGACAATGATCAAACGAACGAAACAACACGTGGCGATGTTGAACAAGATTTAGTGGTAAAGGAAGATTGCATTAACCATGTGCAGAAGCGAGTGACTAGTCGCCTGAAAGATATTCGCACGAAATATTCTCGATTGGAGTTTCGATCAAGATCTTCTACGACAGATCGTCAAAAATCATCTGCACGTTCAAAGAAACATAGAATCTTGTTGTCTGATGGTAAACCTTATTCTGGGAGTGCAGGTAGAATGACGAAAGAGATGGAACAGAAGTTCACAAGTCTGTACGGTAATGCTATACGAGAGTCAAGTAACCAAACAAGAGGTACCCATCATTAAACTGAGAAGCACAATTTTTTACCATTTCGCTTTATAGAAATGGATTTGAATGAAGACGAAGCGGTGGTTTTGATGCAGAAAAAGTGCCGTGCTGTCTTTTACCACTACATAGATCAAGTGGATAAAAGTAAACAGCATCAATATTGTCCAACAGGACCTAACAGGTAAATATCTGTAGAGTGATTTTTTCAAGATAAACAAAGAAGAAAATTTCCCTTTCTCAATAAATAATATGATCATTTAGTTGGTGCAAATATCAGTCTAATACATTGGACTCGAATACGAAAAATGGAAAACTGAAGAAGAAATATCTCGATCCGGTAAATAGACTTAGTTTCTTACTGAATATTTATTGATAAATACTTTTAATGACGTTTCCATCTTTCGTTGTAGGTTTTTCTAGAAATATTTCATGATATGATCGAAATTTTGACCAGCAAAGATCTTCTAAGAAGGTGTCTGAGAGGTCAAACTATTTTCTGATATTAGAAAGTAGTTTCAAGCTATACTATGGATTTTTTTCTGTTGATTAGGAGCCACACAAAACTCCAACGAGTGTCTAAATTCAATTGTGTGGACGATACTATCAAAAACCAAAAACCACGGTTATAGATCGATACGTGGCGCGGCCGCGTTAGCGTGTTTGTATTTCAACCAAGGTCGATCTGGTCTTATTGCCTATTTTGATCACGTCGGACTCGATGTCAATGAAGAATTCATTAACATTGTTATAGGTAATTCACTTTTTAGTGAAAAGCTATCATAAACTTCTAAACCTGTATCGAAATAAAAATAAACTTTGCTACTCTCTTTAGACAAGGATAAAGAACGTTTACAAGAGGCAATTGCTGCAGCTGAAAAACAACAGGAAATCAACGAACGAAAAAAGCAACTTCGTTTTGATTCCATAGCAGCTGAAGCTGATACGTTCGATTATGGAAGTGGTAGACATTAGTTCTCAACCGGCTTCCGATAATGAGAATAGAACTCAATGGGAATTCGTTTTTTATTAACACTACTTCGATCATTTCCATTTATTCTCATTAATATAATAAATTCGAATAGTGATTCAGAATTGAAAAGTAGGAAATGAATAACCTTATATTCAAATTTCACACATCGTACTAATCACTACGTTTGATTTCATAGTTTCGAAAATATCACTTTTTGTTCTTTCCGNTCTGGGCCTCAAGAAGCATTGTGGAAAGTTCCACGCCGATAGCTGCTACAGGGACTGAATGCATAGCGAACAGACAGACAGACAGACAGACAGACAAACTTTCTTCTTTATATATATAGATGTTCAGCTCGTCGAGCTCTACAAACCCTGAAAGTTTGAGGAATTTTGAAGAAAGTCGATGTAAACGTGGTACGTTTCCCATGGATTCACCCTTAATGAAGATTTTGATCGAAGATAATTTACATGTTCAATAGAACATTGAGATCCTTGCGACTAGCAAATTCAATAAAACGATCTAAGAAAAAAAGTAAATTAATTGTTAATTATTTGAAAAATAAATCTCGTTTACTTGAAAGATTTTGATGAAATCGTTGATCTTCAATTAATTGTCGAAAAGGTGATCCTGAAAGTGTTGTATTTCCTTGTTTTAATAATCGAACATCAAGATGTGCATCAATATTAATAACATAAATTGATTTAGAATTATTTCATAAAGCTGAAGTATTTGAATAAGGTTGATCATTTCAACCACCAATAACAAATGAAAGTTTTTTTTATTTTGAACTAATTGAGTGATACGTTCTTCTAATTGTTGTGTGATTCTTCTAAATTTAAATTTTCTCTTATATTTCCACCATCGGGATATTTTCTTATATCTAAATCTTCATATTCGGCATTAACAACCGTTCCTGTTCGTTTTAATGATTGCCGAAATACATTTGGATCTAATTTAAAACCAATTCTTCCATTATTTCTTCGTATACCTTCATCATATGGAAATCCAATTAAAATTCTATCACCATTATCATCTTCAGTTATAATATCTCCCAAACGAATATCATTACTAATCATTTCTCTCTCTCTCTCTCTCTCTGATAATATTCTTTGCAAATAAACATTTCTCTCCAACATTTATTTCATTTTGGTTATCTATGAATTTTATTATAGATGTCACTCAAAATCGTTTTCAATATCGAAGAAATTCTATATACAGTAAATGATAAAATACATATAACCTATGATAACTTAGATTCTTTACTATCTTACGCATTTATTATTATTTAAAAAGTCCTATTAATGTTTACCAAGTTCACCTTTATTTTATTTCGAAGAGAAAAGAAAAACGACTTTTTACAACACACAAGTTCAACAACAACAAAAAATAACTAATAGAAGAAAAAGAGTGAGAGAACGAAGGATCGTCTGTCTACTTCAGTAAATGGCGATTCTGGCAGAAGAAAAAAAGCAAAGTACTCAAAAACATTAATCTTCTTGATAAAAATGTAATGTAATTTTATATTCTGAGATCAAATATTAGAAATAAATGAGTTTAGTTTTGTCCGTCATTGTTAACATGAATTCTTTTCGATGTCAAATTGGGCTTTGGCACTGCAAGAGGTATTTCCGTTGCTACTGTTGGTCGTGCGAGTCTTAATTGACGTTTAATACTTTGAGTTAATTCAGGTAATGCAAGTAGAAACATGAAAGGTTGGAGAGGCGCAACGAATATACAGGAAGCATAAACATAATAAACCGCAAGTATATCTTGAATTAATGTAGGATAAACAGAATATTGTATCAACATAATAATTGTTGTTGGAAACCAGAGAAAATATAGTAATGAATAAACAAGTAAGTTAAAAGCTAATTTTTTCTGTTTATTCCAAGTATTTCTTTGTTGTCGATAAATTTTTCTCTTCGAATGTATCACACGTACAATTAACAATAGATTTGCTATGCCATTAGTCCATACTGGAATTGCTGAATTAACAATCCAGTCTGTGGTAGTTATAGCTATGGTATTCATATAACAAGGATACATACAATTTAGACTTGTTTCATCATAAAAATTCGTACATGGGTATAAAAACATAATAATAATATAAAACAATGCTGGATAAATCACACAAAATATTAATGGGATGTAATGTACCATCCATCTTAATCGTCGAGAACGTAACCATTGAGAATGGAAAACAACAATATGTCGTTGAATACTTGAAATTGCTGCAAGATAAAGACTTTCGGCAGTAAGAGTATAATCAAACCAAAACCACCACTTGCAGAATGATGGTATTCGAATAATGTCAAAACCTGTACGAATAAAACTCATAATAAATGGGAGATCAGCAGTGAGATAGAGAATGGTAAGAATAGTAAGAAGAAAGATGGGATGATTGTGTAAAGATTTAATCATCATTAATCGCCAATTGAAAATAAAATAAAAGAAAATGAGAAAAGAACAGAGAATACCTGGTATTTCAACAGTTAATATACAAGTAAAGAATATTGGTTTAGTAGTTAAACTATTTTCTTCAATGAAAGTTTGGTTTTCACTATTCATCTTTCTTATTTTAGACAAAGTCTGATATGAATAAATTCTAAAATGTCGAAATCTATCTCAAACAACATTATCAGAGAAAGTTTTTTGTTTCTTTTTAGCTTAATTCAGATATACTCAACTTCATTAAATATTTTAAGAGTTCTCTCTCTCTTTTTCAATTAACATAAAAATATCCAAGACGAAAAGAAGGTCATTCTGTGTTAAGAAGATTTCTATTCAATAAAAAGAAGATGAAAAGATTATCGACTAATTCAGAATAATTAAAATCTTATGTCAAAATAAAATTGTAACGAAAAATTAAAATGAAGGTGGTCGCAATGAATTTCTTTTATTTTGTGATCACAAAGACAAGTTGGAGGAATAGCGTTTATCGCTATTCTTCATGTACGTAGATGATGTTTCCTACATGATGCTATACTCCAATTGTATCGTATACAATACAGAACATCGTCTTTTATAGAGAACAGAAGAGAAAGAGAATAGACAGTGACAATACAAAGTGATTCCGATAGATAGAACATTAGTATGACAAGAACATTACGTAAGGACGATATCATATAACTGATATCTCCTAATGACAGAATATATAATACAGCATGATTCACTAATTTTTGCTCATTTTTTTCATTGATTTTATTTCTACAAATCTTTGATACTTTTTATTGTTGTATGGTTGGATAGAGCACTGATTACTCTATCGATGTATATAGTTTTGATTTAATTAATTTCTTATTCTAATTGAAAATATAAGAGATCTTGAGAACTAATGAAAAAAAAGTTTTTTTCCTACAAATTTTGATATATTCTAGTTGTATAATTTCAGTATTTATAATTCACTGAGTGAGTGAATTTTTCTCGCTTTTATACGCTATATGGGGAATTTAAGGTGCACACAATGCAAAAATCGAGTGAAATTTATTTTTATTTTTTTTGCACATGGTTTGATAGAGCGTGAGCCGCTGATCACGATGCACTACTTTGTATTCCTTTAATAAGCTATTTTGTGGTCAATAATCGCAAAATCCTTGAAAAAACCGATTTTTCTCAAAAACGAGGTTTTTGGACAAAAATTGCAAAAACCACTGTGTTCTCGTTCTTGAAGCTTCTTGAAAATGTTTTTTTCGGATTCAGCATCAATAACTGAGTCTGGGGAAACGTCTAGAAATGTTATGGACCGGAAATTCTTCCAATGGTGACATTTTTAGTATGTGTAACTACACTAAAAATAGGTGGATCTTGTAAACCTAACTACTTTTTCTAGAGAGGTGCGGGAGCGAAATGTTTTTTTTCATTTTAATCATCATGTCACCCTCCATCAAACTACGCATCGCTTTTGTCTTGAGCTATTTTCTTCGTGGAGAAAAGTCCATTTTACTGGCAGCATAGGAAACCGGCTATCCAGTCGTAATTTTTTCATGTTCATTGTTAGCTGTTGATAAAATTCAGTTAATGTATCGGGTTGTCGAATACCTAAGATTTGAAGGCTAACAGCTAAATCCGAAAAGAAATTGTAATCGTTGACATAACCACCACAACGTGTTACAATTGTTCCAAGTTCCGAGAGAATGTCATGGCGATATTGAACCGGTGCGTATGATGTAATATTTAACTTTTTNGCGAAATGTTTTTTTTCATTTTAATCATCATGTCACCCTCCATCAAACTACGCATCGCTTTTGTCTTGAGCTATTTTCTTCGTGGAGAAAAGTCCATTTTACTGGCAGCATAGGAAACCGGGGAGGTCATTCGGATATAACACATCCATTTTTCATCCAAATCCAATGGAAATTTTTTTCCAATGATAAAATTCGATGCCAAGTTGAATAGACATCCTCCGAAGATGTATCTCCAGGAAAGGTTTTCCAATGGTTTTCTAGAAATCCTCTCTTTTCAAAGTTTGCTCGTTGTATCTTAGAAAATAGTTGCCGATATTTTGGGCACAAATTGAAATGTGTTAATAAAGTTATTGAAAATTTAGATAAAAACAGAAAATACAATAAAGGGAAAACTCTATCAATCGTCGTTGATATTATCGTTTGATATCCGTCGATGTGATTGAATAGATGCACTACAGAGTTGACTAAAGAATAGTTTTAAGACTTCACCATATGTTTGTCCTTGAGAATACGCTTCAAGTGTACGCCAAAAACGACGAAATAGTTTCAATGGCATTTCTCGTTGGACAAAATAAGCACGTGATTCAGATATTAATTTAATCATTTTATCGAAGGTTTGATCTGTACGCGAACAAACAAAAGCTTTCTGGCTACACCAAAGGCCTTCAATTGCGTTGAGCTCGCAGTGATATTTTGGACAAAATATAACATTAACTTTATATTTAAGTGCAAGAGTTTCGAGTTTTGTAGCCTATATGAAAAGAAATGAAAGAGTAGAGTGCGTAATGTGTTTTTAATGAAATAGAACTACTATCACTTACGTTTTGAAATGCTGGATGTCCTGACAATATTTCTCGAATTTTTTCCAACGTAATTTTAGGTGGCAGGTGTATACCTAAGTCTTTGCATATTTCAACTAAACCCTTTGATTTGCCTATGTTTTGTCCTTCTTTGAAGAAACAATCAATAATGTGTGGATTGCCATCTTTGTCGAGATATTCGATACTGTCAACGGTGCATTGACCTCCAACTGATTTTCTAAAGTCTTGTAATGAATAAGCCTTGCTCGTATGAGTTCTTGCGTTATCCACAATTATATCAATTTCATGCTTTTTATAATGCTGTTTGAATTCAAGCATTTGAAATAATCGCTCAAATTTATTTAAGATTGTTTCGTTGTTGAAATATGCATCAGATCCAATGTTGATACTCGCGGTGGCAGTTCGTTCAACATAATCCAAGTCGTGATTTATGTTTAGTGATGGATATTTTCTCACAGCTTGCTTCCATTCATGTGCATTAAGCTGAAAGAATGGCCCTGATGGATGTTGAACGAGAAAGTCGGAAACCATATGGCTACGACCACGACCTTTTGAAAAAAATGGCGTATTTTCTTTGAAAAACCAACGTTTTGCGCAAACTTCACCACTTCGAAAGGTTGATTCATCGTGAACTAATTTAGACAAGAATTTAAAGAGAAAAGGCTATAGCAAATTCACTTACATATTATTATTCTTTGAGGAGTTTTATCTGGAAGATTCCATACAGGTGTGTCCCCATCAGTAATGGTATGATAATAATCTTTACGTTCCAAAAAGTAATTTATAAACTCATTACGATGTTTCACAACATCGTCTCTTTCGTGACCTTCGAAATATGGGCGCTGTGCGTTGGCTTCAAACCTCGCTCCCCATCTACGAAGATCTAATTGGGAACTTCTTTCCGATCTTATATAACCACCACTAGCTTGTTCATCGATGTCATTTAAATCACAATATTGTTTGTTAATAAATCGGGCCAGATCTATTGCTTTAAATTCACTCGATTTTTGCATTGTGTGCACCTTAAATTCCCTTTCAAACTATTCGTTGTGACCCAGCTTGTTGTGTGGAATGTTGGACAAATTAATAAATTTAAACAAGTTTTTGCATAACTTTTGTGAATTATTTTCTATTTAAGCTGGTTCTAGTCACTTTTTTCATCAGTTGCTTCGATTCGTGAATAAGTGAACGCAGTGCGCATTACTCTATTTATTGATGCTGTTAGAGAGAAAGACGGGAGATGGTAGTGTGGACGATCTGCGTCCGAGTTTATTCTCTAACTGACTGTTTAATACAGAAAACGGTGTACATATATACGGACGAGGACCAAGGCGAGAAAGAATCGGATGAAGAGAGAGCAGGGCGACGTGATGTCGCCCTAACATACTCCCTTTTGAGAAAAAAAAAGTTTTACATTTCAAAGACCAGATGAGACGATAGAGAGAAAACAAAAATCGAAGTTTTCACACGAGAGAAGAGAGAGTGCACGAAGAAGAGAAAGAAAAAAAATGAAAAACTAAAAAAACATTGTTTTTTTCTTCTTGTGCTGTTGATTTCGATGGTGCTGTTGCTGTTGATCGTCGTTATCATCGATTTCGTCGAGGTAAGTCTCCACTCTTCTTTAATTGTTGATAATGTTGGCTTGTGAAGAAATTCCGGGATCGTTCCTCGTATTGCGAGAGATTCTCGGGTTCGCGAACGGCAACGAATAATTTGATTGTCTTTGTTCGTTGTTTCACCGGGTTCACGACGTAGATTGGTATGTTGTTGCGCTTGAGTG